TTATTGAGTACAAACACTTCAAAAAGCACTTACTATTAAATTTTATCATAGATCCTAATAAATTGCTTTATTTTCCTTGGTACCCTGATGCATTTTTTCGTTCTGTAGCTTTCAATTTATTGGCCCCTTTCCTAAAAAAATGGCCCCTAAAAAAGATCTTCAGTGGCCACTTTGGCCCTCAAGTAAAATTTTCTGGCTGAAACACTGGTAAATCTATTGTTAAAGTTTCCCTCCCTCCCTCCCTCCCTTTGGAGATGAAGTTGGTCATGTACTCCAGCATAAGAAACAAAGGGTCACTCCTGTGTGGTGCGGTTAAGTCTACACAGCGACTTCCCTCAAGATTGTTGTTTTTTTTATCGCCTTTAAATATTGCTCACTAACTGATACTCTTGTCTGATCCAGCATGTGCTGTTTGTCATTCAGCTCGTAGTGCTGGGGAGATAAGTGAGGTTGTTTGTCACGCTATCACCAGAAGTCGCATGGGCTAACCAAACGTAGGGCAGTGTTCCCCCATTAATGCCAACACAGGTTGTTTGTATTTGTTTATTAGCTCCTGTTCAATTGCAAGTTGCCACAGTTAACTTATAAATATGTAGAAATTACCATTCCAAATAACAGCTTTTGGTTCTTGTTTTATCAAATCTAAATAACAGACATTTCACCTACTGAACACAGTCCATTTGTTCAATATTATCTCTGTAGAACAACTCTTGTCAGGGAAGTCTCAAGGACCAGATCCCACTGATATTCCACCTGTCTCTACAAATGGTCTGCCCTTGGCCAGTGGAGCAGCTGAAATTCAAGAATGCAGTACTATTGAGGAGGAAGACAGTAGTGAATATGAGGAGTCATCAGATGAACAGCAGTGATAAATGAAAATCATCTTTGTCTGCACAGAGTGAAAAATCACTGTTGTCTCCCTCTCTGCCTCAGCAAGTTGTCAATGTAGTTGTTTCCTTTCTTCATTTCTGTGATTGGATCATGTGAAGAGGAATGAGACTAGTAGTCAGACCAGGAATTGCAGGGGAGGGGGAGGGGCTAAAGGCTAGGGAACTTGAGAGGTGTTCTCACAGACTGTGCTTTTATCTCCCTCCATCTCCATCCTGCAACTTTTTGACTTGCACCAATTCTCTTTACTCCTCTTCAGATGGTCTAAATTATTTTATTATTTCAGCAATCGTTTATCAGGTTAGGAATGAGTATTACTCTAGGTAACCTCTTGGCTTGTCTTTTTGGTTTTCATGTATTAACTTTCTGGCTGACACAAGGAAACGAGAAAACTGACTGACTATAGTTTTTCTGTGTGCAATGTGTTTATACAAATGGACAGAATGATAGGATTTCTCATAGAATGGTAATCAATTCAACAATACATGTTGGCATTTGATTTAAGTAATGTAGCACTTGTATATATAGCTTTGTATAGTGAACATTTCATCAGGGCTTGCTACCAATTATTGGAGACTTTTAGAGAAATATATTTAACTTTCAGAAGGTCAAATAAATTGTATTTTATAGGTCTATAATAACAATGACCTTGTATACTTAGGTAATTACTGTGCAATAAAATGTTTTTGAATAGTTGCCTATGCATAAGTTGAACCATCAGCTAACCTTTGTGTTTAAGAATAGAGTCAGACCTCCACTAATGGCCACCTCTCTACAACAGCCACTTCTTGGGGTCCCAGTGGACAGTCCATACATTCTCCCTTATTTTAACCTCTCCACAATGGCAAAGGCCACTAAAATGTGTGCTGACTGGTAAGATAACCTCATGACAATGGCCAGTAAATCAATAACTGATGAATGGTGTATACAAAACCTCATTTTTTATTGTAAAAGTTCACCAAACTTTATCTGTACCACACTTTGGTGGTCTCTGTTTAGTTTCTGATTTACTGATTTATTTTGATAATATTTGTGTCACGTACAGTTTATATGCTAAAATAAGCATTTTTTTAAGAGAAGCAATGTTGCACACTCAAAAACACAGGTGTCATGTAAAATCCTACCTTCCCATGACAACCATCTCTCTACAATGTCCACTTTCCTCTGTCCCCAAAGTGGCCATTGTCGAGAGGTTTGGCCGCATAGAGCTTTAAATTTGGTGGTGTCATTTTTGCTTTGGCCAGAAAAGTGTTGTCTTAATTTTTTTAATCATCTTTCTTTGTGGGGCAGTTGCAGAAGATATGCATATTTACTTCAATTAGTTCTCTTGACACACGTCTGTAAAGTTTCCTATTGACTGACTGAATATTAATATAAAGACATTTGATGGGAAACTGAAAAATTGTCACCAGGCAGGAATCATCCCAAAAAACCTTGATTGAAGGAAGTGTAGAATTTTGGTTCTTCCCCACCGTCCCCTTGGACTAACTTCCCCTGGCCATCACCTTCCTGTACTCACTTCCAGTTCTCCTGTTGAACATTTCTTGTCATATGTTTATTGATCTGAAAAAGAACAAAACTAGTGAGGCTGTAAATACTCTAATTATAGGCACAGATTCATTTCTGGAACAGAAATTTCAATGATTGTTAAACTAGCTGGATTGGTAAATTCTGAGTTTTTTTTTCCTGTTTTAATTTGCACGTCATGCGTGCCTATGTTTTTAACTTGCCTATGTGACCATAAATCAACATAATAGAGCTGGCATTGGTTTACCCCAAGGCTCTCTTGATGAGTGTTATTTATATTCAAGACATTCTGTCCAGAGGCAACAGAAAACTGAAATGCTTTTTAATAAAACTTGTTTCCTGGGAGACAGTTTCAAACAGTTTTACCCAGTGATCTCAACTGGATGAGGGAGGTTTGTGAAATAGAAGATTAAAAAGAATTGTGGACAAGGCTGGGTTGGATTTATTGAGATGTACGTTGTAAACCCAATGAAAAAAAGGGTGTCTCCTCGCCTATCTTAGAGTTCACAGTCTGTTCTTATTAAAAGATGTCAAAAATAAAATATATTCTTTTAAAATAAATCACCCTTTTCAGACTCAAGTAATTCTACAAAATTAATCCCTGGAGACTATTTTCGGACCACAGCTTATAAGTGTTCCATAAAAAAAACTCATCAGCTGTTTTGATGGGTATAGTTGTAACATGAGAACAATAAAACTTTTCAAATAATACGGCGATAGCTTCTGACAGCAGTTGTCTGAAATCTGATCTCTCCAAAGAGGAAAATTTAACATTTTTGGTGGAAAATAGTTTACAAGTGTGTAATATTTTCAATGAAATTATTGATGCATTAATTTGAAGCATTAATTAAAAAAACTAAAAACCCACGCTCATCACGTTAGAATAGTTGATATTATTCCGCAGCTGTTATCAAATGATATCATGCCCCAAGTATCTATGAATTTTAAAATATTGTAATTTTCCATTGATTGTGAGTTGTCAATGTAAACCATTCAAACCCTCATGTGTTTTCGCTTTTATAAATATTTTAGTCAGAAATTCTAAAATGAAAATATAGCCACAATCGTGTTTTTCCTGGCGATTTTCCAAACTCGTAAAAATGACAAAACGATTTCGTTTTTTAAGTTTTCGATGTGGTCGCAATTAAATAAGAGTTATATCCAACGCTTAAAGTTTATAAGAAATTCTGTACATTAAATTCACCGCAAAAAAGAAGACACCATAGACTATGGACATGTCTTAGTCAACGCTATTTTTAGCTCGTCAGAAGAAACACTGCTCTGATTGGCTACCCAATTAAGATCGTCCAATCACAAGGGGTGTTAGTATTCGAAACCTGCTCCGTCCGTATATGGTGAATAATTATGATCATGCGTGCCAAATGAAAACATCACTTCCGAACTAGAGGAGGTTCCGGTTCTTTCGTAAATACTTCTCCTCTTTGCTGAGAATGTATCTTGCTTCCTTGTTGTCTTGATCTTAAGTGAAAAACTTCCTTGAAAATAAGCCGAAAAAATGGTGAGTTTTGTTGTTCTAGAATGTTTGACCATGTGTGGATTAAGTTTTGTAACAGCGACACCACGGAATTTTGTATTTTCCAGCCTTCGAACTACCATTGGCAGAGTAAGGGCAATGTTAAAGCGAGTGGGGTGGAAGATATGGTTCTTCTGCCGAAGATCCAAGAAGCGGCGATCGTGGAGAACCTAAAGAAACGTTATATGGACGACCTTATTTTCGTATCCTTTCACTACACATCATCTTGAGTGAAGAATGCGTTATGCACAACTACTTCACCCTTTGATGTAAGCTTAGTTACCTTACTAAGTTCTTAATTCCACTGTACACTAAGCAGACAAGTTAGATATTTATAAGTCTAATATAAGTGGAAGGTTACTCTTTATCTTTTGCTGATGGGAACTTAGAACCTCCTACATAAATTTTACCGTGAGTGAATTACAGAAAATGAGAGTAAATATGGTGGTTTTCGTTGTCAAGCGCTTGTGAGGCTGCAGCTTGCCTGTCTCGTCAACCAAAGCAAACGAAAACCACATATCAGCTGCATAATTTTAGTTTCCTCTAACGCCCAAAACGAGCCATTTCTCATATTTCCAATTGAATTTATTTATTTATTTTGTATTAAACATCAGCTTAATCCTCCGTAAAATTATTTCCGTCCATTAAAGTTTGGTCACAATTTTTGCCTCACTCAGTGGGGCGTCGTTTTCAAGATTTGGGAATCTTCCTGAAGACACACGATGTACAATCCATTAGCTTACTCGTTCAATCGTAGCCACCTTTGTGCATTGAACAAGTTTCTAGAATTTATTGAACTGGCGAAAATATCTGATTCTGCCGAAGGATTTATACATAACGGGTTTAAGTAGAAGCTCGATAAACATATATATGAGCTTAAATTGTACAGTCTTAAAAGGGGGCTTAGATGCATCCACACTGATGCAAAAGTCACAAGTATGAAATAATAAAAAATATACTGTTTGTTGTTAAATTGATGATTGTTTACCTTGAATAACATTTGAAGCAAAATTCCTTTGCAAGGAATTTACATGAATATACAAGTACAACTGATATTCATTCATTTTGGTTGTGACAAATTTTGTTAAAGGTCTATCAGGTTTATTTTTAACTTCCCACAATAATTTTAGTGTTCAGTTATAGTGTTATATGGTTTGGTTGAGCAGTCAACTGTATCAAGGTTGGCTAGGCTTGCCTACAGCTCAGGGTGCATTCTGATTTGAACATGCCACTTTGATTGACAAATTCCTTTGGGACTATTTCTGTGACTTACCACTGGAATGAAATATGACATTATTATACATGCATGTGGCATTAATATTAGTGGTAAAAGAGTGCACTTAGAACAATTTCTGATTGTATTATTCAGTTGAGGTAACAAGTGCCACTTTACTTAGTGACTTACTGTTTCTAGGTATTGGCCAATGGGGTAATATTTTTTGTCGGTAGCCTTATTGCGCTATCCTGGCATGATGACTTTTGTAATATGTTGAACCCTGCTATTTCATGGTTGGAGAATAAGAATCATAAACTCTTCATAATATTCTCAAGTACATGTACATGTACTTTAACAAACTCCAGATAACTTGCCAAAACTGGCCCTTGCACCCCCTGTCCCCCCTTCCCTGAAGCATATATTTCATTATGTAACCAAATACAGTTCAGAGTCTACTCCTTCCACTTGCATATGTTACCTGTAGTTTATGGTTAACTTTAGAAAGAGTTTATATTTGATTGTTTTATACCCTTAACCATTTGATCAGACCTACATTGGTCCAGTGTTGATCTCTGTCAACCCATTCAAACAAATGCCATACTTTACAGACAAAGAGATTGACCAGTATCAGGGAGCTGTGAGTAAAAACATCTTGTCCTGAAGACACTAATTAAAGCCTGGTTTTCACCATGATATAAGCACAAGTATAAGCATAATGGTAGTGAGTATGTCCACTAGATGCATGGGGAGAATGGATAGTGGCTTATTTTTGGTTCCGTGTATACCTCCTCGAAACAGCATTTTAAAAAGGATGGCGGACTTATGCTTGTGCTTATGTTTATGCTTACAGTAGCACATTCTCATTTGGCATAAGTGCAAGCACAAGGAGAGCAATTTCTGCTTGTGCCTGTGCTTATGCTTAGGTTTTGTGTGTCCTCACAACCTTGTGCTTGTGCATGTGCTTGTGCTTATGTCATGTTAGAAACCAGGCTTAAACTAGAAGTTCTCAAACAGAAGATAGTTGCTGCGTCCTGTAGAAACCTGAGCCAATCACTGTGCTAGAAACTGTGTTCACTAAATTTTGTTAAAATGTCACTCTGCTTTTCAGGCATCCTATGAGAATCCTCCACACATTTATGCCCTTACAGACAACATGTACAGAAACATGTTGATTGATCAGGAAAATCAATGTGTTATTATCAGGTACAAAGTTGTGACAACTGTATTGTAAATGAAATACAGTCAAAGCTCTCTTTGTGACTGGTCTTGCAAGTGACCAGTTTTTGCTATGACCACCATTGTAAAAGCCTGTTTAACCTATCACTGAGATCCTGTTTAAAAGCTCTCATAAGTGACTGTAATCACCTGTAGAGCTGGTCTTTTCCTTTGTTTTTTATGTTCCTGTAAAGAGATAACTCCAAGGTTCTAATATTCATTCAAGTCAACTCTTTAAAAATAACTAGTATGTACTTCATGATCACATTTACTGCAGTTATGTAATAAATACTTTGACTAACTCTTTGCTTGCAAATGCAATCATTTTGTTTGGTTAGCCACTTACTGTCCATCCAATGTTCTATCTAGATCTATCCATGTCCATTTTAAAAGACTGATTCCAAATACAGCATGAGCTTACATATACTCTGGCTTAGTATTTTCTTTTCTCCTGAATTGAAATAAGCAATTTGTTTGTTTTTGTAGTGGAGAGAGTGGAGCTGGGAAGACTGTTTGTGCCAAGTTCATTATGAACTACTTAGCTAAAGTATCTGGAGGAGGCCCAAGTGTACAGGTTTGCAATTATACATATATATTCCAGATATTGTGATTAAACAGTGATTTCTCATTACCTTTAAATGTAACAGATTGAAGTAGTCAGGTCTTGAGAATTGAAATACATGGCATTCAATATTGATTCTTTTGAACAGCAATTAGAAGAATGTAATTTTGTTTCCTTTCTCTTTTATTTTCCATAGAAAATCAAAGATGTCATTCTAGAATCCAATCCTCTTTTAGAAGCTTTTGGCAATGCCAAGACTGTCAGAAACAACAACTCCAGTCGATTTGTAAGTCTAGCTTGTCAAACATGACCCTGATAACCATTACGGACAGTAGCCAGTTATAGAACAATCACTGTTTTAAAGAAAATGGTTTCATTGTTGTAAAGCAGTATACATGTAGGTCTTAGAGATGAGACTTATCTCCAAGTCCTATTTCTAGTAAGCCATTATGCTGTAAAAATACTAGATGTAGGACAGATCATGATGAAAAACTACATCTCGTATTATTGTGGTGGATCCAGTTGTGCTGAACAGGGAGAAGGGGAAATGAAGACTGGTCTTATCTTGCACAAGGGGTGGAAGGAAGGCCCTTTTGTCACCAAAAATGGGTGGACTAGACCTTTTTGGCACTCTGATCCTTCAAGACTAACATTTTCAAAAACCCCTATGCCCTTCTCTCCCAGGTCTGTCATTTTTTTTATGCGTGTTATTCATTCCAATCTTGCTTTTGCCTTGCTTTTTTAGGGCAAGTATGTCGAGATTCAGTTTACCAAGGGTGGACAGCCTGATGGTGGCAAGATTTCAAACTTTTTGTTAGAAAAGGTAATAGTGGGTTTTGGGTTTTTTGTTATTATTCTTGTTACAGGCTGCCTGTTGTTTGTTTTGATGAGCTCTTTTTCATCTACTACATTGGATGCTTGAGATCACGCAACTTCAAACTTCACATGCAAAAAGAATATTAATATTGAATAATTTAATGAATTGATTTCTTGTTCTATTAGTCCAGAGTTGTGAGTCAAAATCCATCAGAAAGGAACTTTCATATTTTCTACCAACTTCTCACTGGTGCATCACAAGAAGACAAAGGTTTGTTCAAAGAACAAAGAATGAGAGTCAGGAAGAGTTGAGATTAATGTTCCCAGCTACATGTATTGCTCTTGTTGAATGATGATCACTGGCAAACAATTTAGGGGTATTGAATGGTCCTATTCAATTTAAAATTGCTCACAAAATTTGGCATTTGCTCGAATTGCTTGCAAAAATTAAATGAGTCCTTGCTTGCTTGTGCTTGCAAAATTTTTGCAACTGCTCGCATGCTCGGATTTTGGAGTCTGGAAGCTTTTTGCTTCTTCTTGTTGTGTGTCCACAACATCAAGTTAGAAAGCTTTAGATCTCCTTGAGTGTCCACCCACTGACACATGTGAAGCTATGTCCATAATTTGGCATCAAACAAGGCCTTATTGGCTGTAAGCTGCTGGGATTGGTTGAACCTCCTAGTGCAAAACAATGTTTTCTTTCAATAAAATGGAGATTCCGGCAAGTAGAAAATTCACAAAGTGTTGCTGCTCGCCATCTGTATTTTCTAAGGTGCTCACTGCTCGCAAGACAAATTTGATCATTGCTCATGCATGCAAAAATAAACGCTCTGGTCAAATGCTCGCAAAGCTCAGTCGATACCCCTCAATTTGAACATGCAGAGAACATTTTGATCATACATTTAGACATCAGAACAAGGGAGATGACGTCAACAGTCTCGTCCACTTGGCCAGTTTCACTGCATAGTGATGTTAATCAATTGATCATTAAGAAAACTCTAACTTGTGCCTCAACTCTTGTCAACTCTCAAATTCAATTTTTTTTTTTAAACTCTACAACTCCCTCTAATGAGATAAATGATGTATAGTATTTATAAGGTTTGTTCTTAGGGGAACCACATTATCCTATTCTAGCAGTGTCTTTCTCTACTAATTAAAAGTTGATGTGTAAATGGGTGTTGCTCAATAGTTGAGAGCAACCTGACAAAAATGTAATGGACTACAATGGACTAATAACCCATCCATGAGGAGAAGTTAGTTTCTTCTAGTTCCAAATGACACAGGAAGCCCAGAGTTATCCTTTGGTACTTACTGAGTTAGGAAGGCTCAGTGGCCAACATGGTTAGTTTGTTGGACTCTGGACTAGTTCTGTCAATAGTTTGAGCCCTACCAGAGTCATTTTGAATAGACCAGCATCCCATCCAGGGGGGCAGCAGCAATACATTTAGTCACCTCTTGCTATAGAAACCCAGAATTGCTCCAGGAGCATGATGCAGAAACACTATCACTTGATGCAGACTTCACCTGCCTGGAGGCTTGGAACACAGTTTACTTTCATGTGCACATACTTGTCCTAGAACAGATTAATTGACTGGTAGATACATAATTATCTCAGGGCGCTCTTCGGAAATTCAAAATCATTTCTCTTGCCATTTGCAAAAAGGTGAAAGTAATAATTACCACTAAATTCTTGACTAGATACACCTGTTTTGGTAGAAACAATTGAGCATTACCCATTATTTCAATGAAACAATTTCTTAAACACAGTGCAACAAGAAACTGGGTTCTGAGTTGAAATTAACTGCAGCTTAACAATGTCTTGCTTCAGACAACTTCATGAGCCTGTTTTGCTTATTTTCAAAATGAGATACTGCAGTTTCATGTATGAATACGCTAATAAAATGTATTTTTTGGGATCAATAGGTCAGCTAGGTCTAACAGAACCCAGCTATTACTACTATCTGAATCAAAGTGGTACATACTCAGTGGACGGCACTAATGATGTAAAGGAGTATGAGGAAACAAGGGTGAGTACTCAGTAGTTTAGCCAATGTTGGTACTTTTTCCTGATAAAATATTATTAAATGAAGGGGTGAGTGCAAAACCATGCTAAGTGACGATTTGGGTGAAAAAAAAAATATTTGCGAAAGGGCTTGAATTTTTGCATGTGGTCTTCAATGTAATAGAAAAACGTGGTCCTGTATTTTTGTCGCTGGTTTTTGCTTCGTTTATAAAGACG